AGAGTTCTGTTTTTGGAAGCTCACTCCAAAATTTCTGTGTAGAAAATGAACTATAGGTGCACAGTACTGGAAGTAGGAGTAGCAACGGGTCTGCTGAGGAGCTGTTTGGAGCTCCCAGTTGTCTAACTGTGTATGTGGGTTTACACATGCATGCACATGCGCACAGTAGTTTCAGATTATCCACTGGAGATGCAACGTCATGATCCCCACTGGACAAATCTAAAATTCATAACATTTACTTTATAGCTCTTTTCTTTGGCACAGCTAAATTTCCAGCATCATGATGTTTGTACCTTTGAGCCATTATTAAATAAGATAAGGGTTATTTGAATACAAACACTGTAAAGTGAGGACAGTCTGATCACTAAGCTAACCACTAAATGACTGATGGGCGGGTAGCATATACAGCACGGATACACTGGACACAGAGCTGATTCACTCTCTAGGCAGGATGGGCAGGGACAGCCTGAGAATGAATCAAGCTCAGAAATTTAGAAGTTACTATTTGTTTGTTTCTGAAACTTTCCATCAGCTAACTTTGGACCACCGTTAAGGCAGGATACCGGCACTGAGGCGAAGGAAGCTGCGTCACACAGGCACACTTAGGGTCAGTTGGCTGCGGAAGATGTTCTGGAGAAGTTCTTGTCTGACCTTGGTGATGAGGAGGCAGGAAGGTAGAAGTCAGGGATGGTGCGGAGCTTTTGGGCATAAGTGCAGAGTGAACGGTGGTGCCAGATGCAAAGAAAGAGAAGCCTGGAGGGAAAATTGGTTCAGGACACTCAGGAGCTCTACTCTGGAGTGGAGAGTCTGGGAGCTTCCCTCACTGCCCAGGAGGTGGCTGTACACAGGACGATCGAAGCTCTGTGAATGACAAAGGCCCTAAAGGATCCTGCCATACTCCTGGCCTGTCTTTGTGTGATGCCTGTCAGGTCTGTGATACAGCGACAAATGAGACGTAGTCCCAGCTCTCCTGGAGTTCAATGGAGAAACTAGAGTTGGTCCAGCTTTGGTACCTGATACTCATCAAGGAGGATGTAAAACCACGTGCACAAAATTAGGTGTGTAAAGGGAGAGAGGTCCCATAGCCCAAGCTTCATCAGATGCACAGAATGTTCTCTGGGGTGGGGAAGATGGGGAAGTCAAAGTTATAGCATCATGCGGAAATATGTAGGCAAATGGGGAGGGATTCGGATTGCAGAGGGTCGGGAAAGGCCTGGGAGAGCGGGATGCAGGAGTCGGCCCTGAAACAGTGGGGTCTTGTCATCCTGTGTTGAGGACAGAGGAACGGAACTGCCTGTGAGGAGAGAGACTGCAGCTGTGTTGTGCGGAGTGTAGCCACGACTTCAGCAGCGTGAGCATTTGAAAGAACTGTAAAGGAATCATGGGGCTGGAGAGATGGCTCAGTGGTTAAGAGCACTGACTGCTCTTCCAGAGGTCCTGAGTTCAATTCCCAGCAACCACATGGTGGCTCACAGCCATCTATAATGAGATCTGGTGCCCTCTTCTGGCATAAAAGCATACATGGAAGAAATGTTGTATACATAATAAATAAATAAATCTTAAGAAAAAAGAAGAAGCATGCCATCCACACCAAGCACTTAGTATTCTAAAAAGAATGCAAAAACACTTAAACTTCTTTATGTTCATTACTTGTTGTAGTTGTAGTTTTCTTTGGGCCACTAGCTTCCAAATAATGACACAGAGACTTCTTATTAATTATTAAAATCCCAGCCTTAGCTTAGGCTTGTTCCGCTAGATCTTGTAACATAAATTAACTCGTTTATTTTCATCTATATATCTCTCATTACTGCCACGAGTATGACTGGGGACTCCACCTTTCTTCTCCTCAGAGGCTCTGTCTCTGGAGGTCCCACCTAACTTCTTCCTGCCTAACCTTTGGCCATTCAGTTCTTTATTGAACCAATCACAGTGACATCTTCACACAGTGTAGGAACATTCCGCGACAGTTTGTTGAAATAGTGCTTTCAAGAGGACTGGAGCTCCAGCTTGGTCCTCAGCAGACTGCTTGATTGACATATTTGATCCATGAGTTTGATCTCCATTGCAGTAACAACAACAACATTTGGCTGTGGGGAAGCACTGGGGAAAGTCACAGGTTGGGTTTGGTGGCACACGCCTTTTATCCCAGCATGGGGGAGGCAGAGCAAACAGATCTCTGGGAGTTCCAGGCCAGTCAGGGATGCATAAGGAGACCCTGTCTCAAAAAATGAAACAAAGCCAGGCAGTGATTGGGCACAACTTTAATTTCAGCACGTGGAGGCCAAGGCAGATGGAATCTCTGAGTTCAAGGCGAGCCTGATCTACAGAGCAAGCTCCAGGACAGTCAAGGCTACACAGTGAAACCCTGTATCAAAAGACAAACAAAACATTCCCCCCAAAAAGTTGCTTGTAGTTCTGCACTATGGACAGTCAGGAGCCCGGTACAGAGGAAGCTCAGCTCTCCCTCCAAGGGACAGTGAGGCTTCTAGAACATGGAGGAGGAACATGGTGTGACGTGCTTAGAAACTCACCACGCTGAGGGGGTGAAGAATACACCTGAAGAGGAACAGATTCAGACTCAAGGACTTTCTGGGCCTGGAGGCAGGAGAGTGGAGGTCAAACTGAGCTGCCTAAGACCTGGTCTGTTGGTCCCCTGGTGTGGGCAGTGAGGTAGAGAGGAATAGGCTCGCAATTGTTGGTACCTCCAGTCAGTTCCAGGGGATCCAATTCCAGTATCAGGGGTCCCCTATCTCGCCTCTGGAGCACCAGGCATGCACATGGTACAGATACACAGATGTAGGCAAAGCCCTCATTCATATTAAACAAATTTTAAAAATTAAAAAAAAAAGGTTGACATGAAAGTCTGTTGATCTGAATTTGATTCCTGGAACCCACAAAAAGTGGGAAGAGAACCAACTCCACAAAGTTGTCCTGTAACTTACACACACACACACACATACACACATATACACACACCCTGTCACATGTGACTCTGCCATGTGTTTGAACCCCCACACAAAACAGCAATAGTAAATGAAGCATAGTAATTTAAAGGAAGAAAATAGCTGAGAGTTGTGTAAGCGTGTAACCTCAGCATTCAAGGCGGGCCAGGGCTAGAAAGCAAGACCATGCACTCCCCTACAAAAGGCTCCAAAGCTAGAGGTGCATGCGGAGAGGCTGCCCATGAACGCAGAGAGAGGTATTTTAGCCTGAATAAGTCATTAGAGCTGTGCACTATGGGGCAAAGGTCAGCCCCTTGGCTCTTGGGGGACAGTCCCCAAAATAGCAAGCTCCCACTTCTTTGCCTCCAGAAGATTCAATGGGAGAAAGTTGGATACGATGAACTGTGAGCTGGGTAGGACCGCGAAGCTAGTGCTGTGTGAAGTCTCTTTTCTCTCAACCCATTGACAGGTGTGATGTGAATAGTTAGGGGCCTTGTTAAAACCCACAGCTCCCCCTTCACACCCAGTTTGGATGTTTCAGCTTTCTCTCACTCATTTTCATGTCCGTTCTTTAACAGAGAGCATCCAGAGTGTCTAGACACTCAAGCCCTCCCCACCTTCCAAAAGTCCTCACATCCTAGGCCCCGGAGAAAGCCTGCTTGGCTCACCTTGCCAGCAGGACCATCTCTGCCTCTTTTATTGTGACCCATGCTCTGCTTTGCCTTCCATCTGTGAGATATATCCCATTCTTTTCGGGACACAGACTCTGTGTCCTAAATTGCTTTTCTCTCTATAACCACCAGCACAGTTCCTCAGAATAGCATGTGGGTGGCCTGTGGTCAGGTGGTATTTTCTATATTTTCAGAGCAGAACAGAGGATGAAGCTGTTCTGTTTCTGGGTGGGCCTTCACAGCCAATGAGGAAAGCAGAGGGATGGAGAGATAGTCACTGGGGCAACTGTTAATAACCTTGGTGCCTAAAGATAGCACCAGAGGCCACTTGGGATTATCTATGCACCCTCCTTACCTTTGTTGAGAGCCACAGGTCAGGGGACCAGAGACAACTACATCACATGTTCCCTGAATGGTAAAAACAAACAAACAAACAAACAAACATAGAATCAGTGGATGGTGGTTTGCTTCCATCAAGCACCCTGTGAAGGAGGTTAAAGTAGGAGGATCACGGCAAATTCAAGGCCAGCCTGGGCTGTATAGTGAATTCTAGGCACGCCTGGGCTAGGATAGTGCATCCATCTCTAAAAATAGATAAATTATCGGACTCGAGTTGAATAGACAATTCATTATCATTCAAATGGCATCTCAAGGCTACGAAAGCAAAGAAAGTGGGTCTAATGGGCTTCACGCTTCTGCATCTTGGGTATGCAAGGTGGTCTCACTCCTTGGCAGGAGCCCCCACAGCTTCCCTAAGACGTAAGCACTCTCATCTGACCCCAAAGCAAGATTTTAGAATCACGAGATGTGCTGTTGTTGTCCAACTTTCAAGGGGAGGGCTGTTTCAGCAAGCAGGAGTGAGGGTGGGGTGGAGCTAAAGGGACCATGGAGAAAGCTTTCTAGAAGAATCCACCCTGAATTTTCTGGGGAGGAACCAAAGATTCAGGTTAGCAGAGAGGCATAGAGAAGGTGTCTTTGGCATAGGGAAAAGGGCACAAATGGGTGAATCTACTCATTTACTTAATAAATATACTGCATCTTTACCATGTCTGTTCACATGCAAAGAAGTTGGGGGAAATGCTAGAGCAGAAAAGAATAGGCACCTTTAGGAGGTGCACGAAGGGAGGTGACATTTAAATGGAGACCTGAAGCACCGAGGAGTGAGGAGCCAAAGCTGGACTACAGGAGGAGCCCGGGGATGCCCTTTCCAGGCAGGTGACACACCTGAGCCAAAAGGTGGCAGGAATGTTGAGACATTTCCTGAAGGTGGATTAGTGTTTCTGGGTTTCCCCAGCGCCACCCCAGAGAGAGGGGCAGGTGGGACCAAAGAAGCAGGGTCTCTCCATGACATCTGCATTCATCTCTTGATCTTCGATCCCCTTTGCAGCCCAGTGACGGTGCCATTGAGGAGAACGAGTCACAGGATAGCAAGAAGCTAAAGGTGGGTGTATGAAGCTTACCCAGTGGAGACGCTGCAGGCTGTGTGGTGAGGGCATCCACATGGTGCTAGCTTGGGAATTATGGCTTCGAATCACAGCTCACTCTGTCCTGAGCCTGCTGTGTAACCTTAGGCCCTAAATCTATAAGACGCAGTTTGGACTAGAGAAACTCAAGTCATACTTCCCAGTCCCGACGTTGGTTGATAAAAGTTCAGTTGCTGGTGGCTTTATCATATCCAGAACTAAGGAACTAGGGGAAAGCTCTTGAGGGGGCAGGGCCCAAGGTTTCTGAAAGACTAGCCTAAGACACCACGTGGAAGGAGTTATGGGGAACTTTGATAGAAAGCAGGTCAGGTAGTAGTGGGTGGGGCTTGAGGGACTGAATCTTCTCCGTTTCTAAGAAAGTCTCCAAGTCTACTGTAATGGCCACGGCCACTAGGTGGCGGAAGAGTTCATCCGGAACGGGATGGGGAGGCTGAACAGGTGGGTGTCTTCAGTGGTAATCTTAGGGTATTTCTTTGTGTTGCTATGAGCACGTGTGTGTCACATCTGTGTGCAGTACAGGTGTGAGTTCTTCGGTGCCTCTGAAGGTCTCTGAGCAGCAGAGTGTAAAGTCAAAGTGGGCTCACAGTCGGTAGCCCGGGGCAACTAGTTTGACTCGCTCCCTGTGTGACCTTGGACATACCACCTCCCCTGCGCGCTTCCTTCTTTCCTTTTGATGGGGCTCCCAGCATTGCCTATCCTTGGGCATGGGACAATGACAACACAGTCAGGCGTGATGTCTGGACTGTAAAGGGCCGTGCCTGGCGCAACAGCCTGCCTGTGCGGATGCGGATGAAGGTGTGTTTCTAGAAAGGTTACTTGCAGTGAGTGGCAAACCTTCCGATAACAAGGTACCACTGATCCCCATGACCTGTTCCCTGTGGAGTCTGTGGGACTCTTAAACTGCAGAAGGAGCTGGTCCTGGAGGAATCAAAGGGAGGATGAGAGGGAGTTGGAGGTGAAGGAAGCAGGGGCGAGGGGCGAGGGGTACCTTCTCTCTGGTCTCTGCGGGAAGGAGGCAGGTTGGCGGGGAGGCCGTCCTGCAGCTCCTCCCCGGACCTGGGCAGGGCACCTCTGAGGCCTCTGCGGCTCTCCCCTTGCTCAGCTCCCGTCCTTGCTGACCCGAGGGAGCAGCTCGGCTTCACTCCACAACAGCGTCATCCGCAGCACCATCTACCACCTCATGCTCCACAGCCTGGACCCCCTGGGGGAAGGTAAGCAAGGCCTCCTCCCACCTGCTGGTCTGCCCCGTGTGCCTCCCCTCCTGCTACTGGAGAGAATCTGGGCCCTACAAAAGCTAGTGACAGTGGGCTGGGCTGGGCTGGGAGGACAGAACTGTGGGAAGAGGGGGTGGGCAGTGAAAGCTAGACAGTCTGGAAGACAAGGAGGACCTGGGCGCACCAAGACAGAGCCTCAAGTAATACTCCATTGTATCCCTGCTCTGGTGTCCCTGCCCGTAAAGTGAAAGGCCTTATCCGCAGCCAGGGCACAAATGCCATAAGACCTATGTGGTCTGTATTGGGTCAGATCCAATGTCCCACAGGTTGACTGGCCAGGGATGCTTCTGGGGACACCTCCTCCACAGCCCATGACATTTCTCTTGGCTTCGTGGGCAGCTCTGGACTCCTAGGAAGCTTGTCTCCCCTGCCAGCCTGGAGTCCTAAGGGACACCCTAGGAGATGTTGAAGGCACTTCTGGGGAGCAGAATGTAGTGTTTAAGGTGCTGAAGTTGAACTTGACAAATAATGACAGCAGTGGAGGTCCCATTGTCTACCTCTCCAAGTCCTGTCTCCCCTCTCACTTCCCTGAGCACAACCCCAAGTGCCTCTTATCCCTTACCGCCCGCCTCTCAGGAACTCACCACTTCCCTGTGAAATCCCCTTTTCTGGGTCTCCAGTGCAGAACTGAGCCCAAGCAGGATGCCCACCAGGAGAAATCTAGTTTTAGGCAAAGTCAAGGCATGCAATTAGTCAGGAGAGCCTGAATATGGCACAAAAGAATAGCCCCAGGGTGACCCCTGACCAGGCCTTTCTGGTTAAGGGGCACATTTTAGGATCTCAGACTGTCATAGGCCCTGACCTACTCCTTCAGACATAATACAGGCACTGTGTGTTTAAAAGTATGCTGTACTGGGTAAAGCAGTGTCAAGGGCAAGGCAGCGAGCCTTCCCAACGTGGGAGAAGCTACCCCATGTGAACAACACACCTGAGGAGTGGGCAGACCGGGGCAGCCACAGGTCTGACATCTGGGGTGGACCTGACCTGGCTTCCAAAAGGACTCTAAGTCATGCCTAGCCCTTCCTAGCAGAACTGTGGAATCTAGCCAAGCCCTGAAAACAAAGAACTTCTGAATGGACTGTGGGGAACCCAGACCCGGCCTACTCTGTGGCCAACTGCCAGCTGGCCTACTTGTCCTAACAGGATTATGTGGTGTTCAGACCAGGCTGAGGTCACAGGAGATTGGCATTAAGGAGATGATCCAGCCATGCTGGGTGGGGAGAGGGCACTCCAGGGAACAGTGACAGGGGAGACCTGGTATAGGGATTGTGGGTGTGGTAAGGCAGGGGCGACCCTTGAGATGAATAATTGCAGATGTGTCCTGGTATGCAAGGCTGCTCAGAGCTGGAGTCTGAGAGTTTGCCAGCACATTCACCCAGGAGGGGTTAGGTCTTCCCAGGCCTTTGTTCAAAAGTCATTCCAGATGTTTGCTTCCCTGGCAGCTTCCAGATGGCTATCCAGATGTTTTCACCCTTCCCTAATGGAGCATCTCAGATCCAGCTTTGTCCACAGGAGATGTTCCCTTTCTCTGAACTCTCACCTCCCCAGGGTGGTGTTTCTCTCCCCTGGGCCCCACGATTCTCTTCTGCTCCGGGTCAGGTGTGTGTGTGTGTGTGTGTGTGTGTGTGCGCGTGCACGCGTGAGCGTGCAAGCAGCAATGGAGAAGACATTCTACAGTAACCAGGGAAATGAGAGACAGGGGCGAGTGATGAAGGTTGTGGATTCTTCCAGCCAGCAGTCAGCTGATGTGCCGGTGCCAGGATGGGGATCCCGGGATGCCCTTCTTTGATAGTGTAATTCTCTGTTCATCGGGGTGCTATAGCTCTTGATTAGTGGCTAGAGGGCCCTGGGCAGTCTGGATTGAGGAGACAGGCTTGTTCTGAAGTCCTCAACACTTCAGGAAGATCAGCTGCGTGCCAGGACACCTCGAGGACCAGAAGGACCATAGCAGTGACCCTGCAAAGGGCATTTACAGTCAAGTCAGCAGCAGCTGAACGACTCTGAAGGTTTAGGGCACAGGAGGAAGGAAGAGATGCCTATTCTGGTCCAGGCAGAGGCTTCATTCCATCCGGCTTCCCAGCCCTGTACCTTCTTAGCATCCTTGCAGTCTGCCTGTGCTCCCTCCTCCTTAGATGATCTCCAGGGCCTCTTCCATCCCAAACCCTCGGGAATGCTGGGCATTTTCATCACAGAACTGTTGCCTGGGTGGAAAGTGGCGGATCACTACTGCTGCCAGTTCACCATCATCATCGTGACAGCCAAAAAGTAACACAGTGACATCTAGGGGCTGTTTTAAATACAGTCACACATAAATTCATTGGCCAGCTACAGGAAGGCTTTTCAGGTGAAGTGTCTGAGGGATGGATAGGCTAAGAGATCAGCCAGCAGGGCCATTACTATAGTGCACCTGGTCAAGCGAAGATTCACACCCAGGTCCTCAGGCTCCAGTGTGTGCCTGATGGTGGGGGAATCACACCCAGGACCTCAGGCTCCAGTGTGTGCCTGATGGTAGGGAAATCACACCCAGGACCTCAGGCTCCAGTGTGTGCCTGTTGGTGGGGAAATCACACCCAGGACCTCAGGCTCCAGTGTGTGCCTGATGGTAGGAGAATCACACCCAGGACCTCAGGCTCCAGTGTGTGCCTGTTGGTGGGGAAATCACACCCAGGACCTCAGGCTCCAGTGTGTGCCTGATGGTAGGAGAATCACACCCAGGACCTCAGGCTCCAGTGTGTGCCTGATGGTGGGGAAATCACACCCAGGACCTCAGGCTCCAGTGTGTGCCTGATGGTGGGGAAATCACACCCAGGACCTCAGGCTCCAGTGTGTGCCTGATGGTCAGGGAATTACACCCAGGACCTCAGGCTCCAGTGTGTGCCTGATGGTGGGGAAATCACACCCAGGACCTCAGGCTCCAGTGTGTGCCTGTTGGTGGGGGAATCACACCCAGGACCTCAGGCTCCAGTGTGTGTCTGATGGTGGGGGAAGCACTGCGGTGCTCAAGTACTCTTGTCTCGAGACTCAATTTGGTGCTCTGGGTGTATCATGGTGCTGCCATTTTCAGAGGACACACAGGCTTCCCAAGTAACTCGATATTCATGGAGAGAGCTAGCCTGCATTCGGGACAGAAACCATGTGGCCATTGCCCTATGTGCCCATTTGTTCACCATTGTCTTGCCTGCCCTACCCCTCCCTCAAGCCACACAGCTGCCGGGGAGGGGGATCTTAAGCTCCTGCTTCTCAGTCCATCCCTTTTCCTTCTCTATGTCTAAGTTACTCATGTGAAGTCCTTTGCATGTTGCCTGGCACGGTCATGTAGGGAGAGAGGGGGTGTCCCTGTCCTTTTTCTTCTCTGAAAATCAGGGCAGCTATTCTGTGCCCACCACTCTAGAGGTCTCCAGGAAAATCTATCCCAATAAAAACGTGACACTCACTTGGAAGCTTGGTTTTTGGGCTCGATCCTTTGCCGCTTCTGCAGTAAAGGGAAGGCTCATGGGCCCCCTAGAGCAGCCTGCAAAGAATGTACTGCCCTGGCTTCTAGGAGACCCGTGAGGGGTAAGCTGCAAGGGGCCTTACAGATCATTTGGTCCATGAGCGGCCAAGCAGCCTCCCTGCCATCATTTCTCCACTCCCTGCCCATCACGGACATCACTGACTGATCCTAACAGGGATCCTACTAAGCTTGGGTCAGATGCCTCAAATGAGCCATCGCTTGAGTTCATGAAGGAAATACATCCTGCAGGCTGGTCCCCAATCCAGCCAAATGTTTATCAGAGAGAAAACAGGAGGAGCAATAGCTGGCCAATGATGATGGGACTTAGCCACGTTTACAAATGGGGCATCAGGGGTAGGCCTTGAGAGCTCAGACACAGACACCACAGGCCTAGGCCAGCCTTCTCTGCCCTGTACTGCCAGGCAGTACAGGGTCCTGACTGGACACTGAGGCTCCAGATAAGATGTCTTCCTTTCTCCTTCACAGCCCGCCCCTCCAAGGACAAGCAGGAGAGTTTGAATCAGGAGGCCAGAGCCCACCCCCAGACCAAAGCAGAGAACAGTCCCAACGGTGAGAGGATGGCTCACTGGCCACAGGCCAGGTTTCTCCTGCCCCACCTCCTGTCACAGCCTGGGTAGCAGACACTGAGGCCCATGTCAGTCAGTGTCTCTCAGGCTCTTCCTTCAGTGATGCTTTTCTGCCTCCGGCTCCCAGTAGCTTCCTCCTTGCTCTCCGCAGGTGGGGCAGGCAGGGAAAGGCCAGGGGAACACTCAGCTCCCTCTTCTAATTTCCTAAACCTCATTCCAAGTGAGACTGTGTTCCTTCTTCCTGTGACTTCTACACAAGGACATTGTAGCTGTGAGTGATCCGGAATGAGTGACCCTACCAAGGGAAGGTGACTTGGAGCCAGTGACAGAGGCCTAGCATCTATTGGCAGCTATGACCAAGGAAGTAGGACAGTAATTGCCTCATGGGCTCTGGAACACCAGGTTTACCTGACTTACTCAGCAGCCCATAGAGGGAGCCAAACAGCAGCCATTCTTTCTATTCCATAGCCAAGGAAACCAAGTTTCAGAGAGATCAAGTGAACTGGCCCCAAGCCACACAGCCAAGAGGTCGTTAGTCTGTAGCTAACATGAGCATTTCAGATTTTGTCCAAGGCCCAGCTCTCTGCAGTTTCTCTGATCCATGGCCTCTGAGCCGCTTGTCTTTGAACTCAGTGGGATCCCTTTCAAAAGACCAGCCCTCCCTGCTCCATTTACCCAAGTAGTTCCAGAATCCCTGGCCACAATTCTAGGAAATGCCTGCAGACACAGGGGAACACTTCCCAGATGCCATCTTGTCCCTCACCTATTCAGAGGACAGAGAAAGGACCACTCCTATTTTCCAAACAAGCATCCTTAGCACTCCCCTGCCAAAAGCCCTGTAGTTTCTCCCGCCTGTCTCTGCAGCTGCTCTCAGAACCTGCTCAGCTCTCACCTAACCCGTGTTTGTCCTTTAAGAGGAGGAGCCAGCCGAGCTCCCTGCGGTCAAGGTCACTCCAGCCCCTGTTCCAGGCACCAAAGGAGAACAGGAGGAGGATCCAGGTGGCCAGGTAGGTGCCCAGCTGGAGGAATTTCAGAGGCCAAGGAAGGCCTGAAATCCCATCAGGTTTATCCCTGTGGGGTGAACCTTCTCTGAAATCTTTTGAAAATGCTCACACTTTCACCTGAGCATGAGATTATATATATGCACACACATATATCTTATTTTATATATGTATATATGTGTATCTATGTATATACACATACTGATGTATATGCACGACTACATGCTATAAGAACATAAGGAATTGCTAGTGTGTCAGCAAAGCAACCAGAGACTAAGTCCAGGTTGTCCAGACCACCAGTGGCTAAGAGGGCTGCTGGGTAAGAGGCCTTGGCATGACCCGAGGTCCTTCATTGCTGCGCTTCCTGCCTCGTCCATAGCATGCTTGGCCTTGAGGGCCTCTTTGTCCACCATTCTCAGACCATGTGGAATTTGTCTCCACGCTTTTCTACCAGCTCCTCGTAGTCCCTCACCCTCCGTCCCCAGATAGCCTTATCTAGCCGGGTATGGGTAGAAAGCTCCCTTGCCAACAAGACTTCCCTGATGCACCTGAATCCAAATGCCCAGGGCACTCTGTACCTGACATGGGGCTTCTGCAACTGCCTCCTTGTTTTCCAAGCCTCTTCTAGTTCCCTGACCAGCTAGTGGGTTCCTGAGGACAGGACGCAAGTCTGAGTCATCTTTACCTCCACCTGAGGGAACCATCCTGCCTGGCACACGCTGCAAATCAGTACAGGTTGAGTGATTGGCAGCAAACAGACGCTTAGGTGCACGTACCAGTTCTGCCTTTTCTATTCAGCGCCCAGAAGCACACTTTATGGACACTCACAGTCCAGCAATCTTGAGACTCAGTCTTGAAGGTGTCCATCCCCTTCCAGGATGTGAGCACCAAGCAGGCCCACTATGGCCAGCTCAATGAACAAGAGGATGTAGAAGCTTCTGGAGCCTCAGCCCCGGAAATGAAGCTGAACCTCATAAAGAAGTTGGGTTGAGGCCCAAGGTCTCCATCTGCTGCCCTTCCTCCCTGCTTTTGCTGTGCGCAGACTCTATGACTGGCTTCAACTCTAAACTACCGGCCCAGCCTTCCAGTCCACAGGGACCAACCAGTCACCAGATACTGGTCTTAGAATCTGTTCAGCTTAAGTCACAGGTCAGAGATCTAGTGCACAGCCGGGCGACTGTGGCCCCGGGAGAGATGGGGTGCCTTCAGTACAGCACAGAAGGGAGCTGCTGTTCACCTGGATTATTATGCCTGCCTTCCTTCCTTCCTTCCTTCCTTCCTTCCTTCCTTCCTTGCCTCCCTCCCTCCCTCCCTCTTTTCTTTCTTCCCTTTTCCTTCCGTGTGCCCTGTCTGTCCTGGAACTCACTCTGTAGACCAGGCTGGCCTTGAACTCAAAGACCCACTGCCTCTGCCTCCCGAGCTGGGACTGAAGACGTGCGCCTCCACTGTCTGGCCTAGGAATGCCTTTCTAATAAGATCCCCAAGGTAACAATTTTGGGAGCCAGGGAAGGCGGTATAGCTGGTTGTCTCTTACCTAATTACTTAAATGAACCGCCATCTCCAGGAAGCCTGCTTCTGTGATGGGGCCAGAGGAGGGAGGCAGGGATGGTTTTAGACAAATCTTTTCACTCGTCATTCCTAATTCAAAACCCAGGCATCCACAGATAGCAACTTTGTCTTTTCATTGACCCTCAACTCTGGCTGTACGTTAGGATAAAATGGAAAAACTTTAAAAAGTTGTTCCCTGCCTACCCGTTGAGTCAACATCCCCAGGGCAGGTCCTCCAGCATCCTGGCTTAAGAAGTCTCCAGTCAGGCCAGGCACAGCGAAGTATGCATTTAATCCCAGCACTCAGGAGGCAAAGGCAAGCGGATCTCTGTGAGTTCAAGGTCACCTCAGTCTTCCTCCCGTGCCACTCAGGACTGCACAGGGAGACCCTGTCCCAGGTGATTTCCATACACAGCAGAGTTGAGAATCATCGAATATCCTTTGGGGTTGTTACGACATTTGTTACAAGTGCCATGCTTACTCCTTAGGGGCTCTTGCTCCAGGGGACAGACTGCAATGTTACCCTTAGTTTCAGATCTAATTGGGGACCATCAGAACTAGTGGCTTTTTGTGTGGAGATAGTCAAAGCTCTGCGGATGAATATTCTAGAACAATGAGCATATAGACTATGGATGATTGCTTTCATCTCAGAGGTTCTAAGTCAGCTGATACATGTAGCGACAGGAAATCTGCACTTCTAATAAGATCCCCAAGGTAACAATTTTGGAAGCCAGGGGTTCCTTCAGTCCTAGAATGTTAGTGGTCAAGAGGCTGAGAATTGAACTCTATCTGTTCAAATCCCAATACCATCATATACAAACTGTGGACCACGAGCAACTTAATCCCTCTCTACCCTAGCTTTGTCACCAGTAGTCAGATGGGTACAGGCCTATCTATTGATGGGTCCATGATGCAGCAGCTGCTGTTGTCATGAAGTCATTTACTATTGTGCCTGGCATGTGAGAGTATGCAACAGATAGGTAAATTATCATCATCTTACATGTGATATAAGAGTTCGGGAGCTTAGCAAGGTGTTGTAGCTGACAAAGCATATCAGCCATGTTAGTCCATGTGGAGGGAAGCCCAGTACATAAGACAAGGGAGAGAATGGTATTGTTCCAGTGTGTGTAGATTCTGTGCTCAGTGTTGATGCCCCACTCATGGTATGGCTAGTTAAACAATCTAACTATGGCAGTCTCTATGCCATAGCATGCCCGATGCCGGAGAACCCAGAAACCTTCAACTCATGAAGGGGCTGTCCTGTGAAGAGTACTTAGGCTTGTTCCATATGTCTCCAGAGGGTAAAACTATGTGGTGGCGGGGCTTTGATACAGATAGTGACTTCAAACCAGTCAATGCTGTTAAAGGGGGCAGACGCTGCTTTAGGTGGCGAGTGCTCCAGCCTTGGAGATGACCAAATACAAGTGGGACGACCACGGGGTCGGAAGCGGTGATGGGAAGTTTGCCGCATCTTTGTGCCAGTTTTCTCCTTTGAATATTTAACTGCTCAGATGCTCTGACAACAGCAAAAACAAAAACAGGGAGCCACAGGGATGCAAATCAGGCAAGATTTTTACCATACATTAACCTGTTGTCTTTGGATTGCAGGGAGATGTGGGTGAGGCTAAACACACAGGAGATGTGACAGGTGAAGAGGGTGAAACTCAACCAGGTGAAGGGGAAACGAAGGCAGAAGGAAAAGAAGATGAACACGAAGGGGAAACTGAGGCAGAAGGAAAATATGAGCATGAAGGGGAAGCTGAGGCAGAAGGAAAAGAAGATGAACATGAAGGGGAAACTGAGTCAGAAGGAAAAGTTGTTGAACAGGAAGGGGAAACTGAGGCAGAACCAAAAAAAGATGACCATGAAGGGCAAAGTGAAACCCAAGCGGATGGCACTGAGGTAAAAGATGGTGAAGGTGAAGAAGAAGCTAAAGCTGAAAATCAGTGTGAGACCATCCAAGGTGAGACCCAAGGTGAGACCACCCAAGGTGAGACCACCCAAGGTGAGACCACCCAAGGTGAGACCACCCAAGGTGAGACCCAAGGCGAGACCACCCAAGGAGAGACCACCCAAGGTGAGACCACCCAAGGAGAGAAAGATGCAAATGATGGAGGGGGAAGTGACGGAGGGGACAGTGGAGAAGAGGAAGATGACGAAGAGGATGAGGACGAGGAAGAAGAGGAAGAGGAGGAGGAAAATGAGGAGCCTCTGTCCTTGGAATGGCCCAAGAGCAGGCAGAAGCAAGCAATTTACCTCTTTCTCCTGCCCATCGTGTTCCCACTGTGGCTGACAGTGCCCGATGTACGGAGGCAGGTAAGAGTACCTAGCTGTGTCGCAGGCTGCCCATCCTGAGAGAGGCTAGAAGCCTTAGGTACCAGGAAGAAGGCTGAGAAACCTAGCTTGGGAGACTTCACCCATGAGGATGTGGGATGGGGCTGCAGCTCTGCGGGGGACCATGTACCACACTCTGAGTCAGGAGCCTTATGTCTGCTACCATGAGCAGTGTGAACCAGTCCATTCTTAATTCTAATCTCAGTATTCTGGCCTTAGTTTGGGAACCATGGCCTTGTACCCATTCATAGTTCACAGAGATATTCTGAAAACCCAGGGTGGTAATTGCTATTTCTCCATATTGTTCTCTCTCTGTAGGGAAACTCTAACCCACCCCATCTAAAGTCCAGAGAGGGATGGGGCAGAGGAAAGTTGCAGAAAGCAAACTCAAGTACTCAGCTGGGTCTCTGGACTGGTTCTGTTGAATGCCTGCTGGACAGGCCTGGCTCCCCTGCAACTCCTTACCAATGGCTCCAGGGGTTCCCTGGGAAAGGGCCACAGCTTCACCCAGACTGCTCCCCATCTTCCTCATTATTACCCATCCTCTAGACCTCATCACATTTTGGAGTTCCCTGGATTTCCCTCAGAGAGGGAGCCAAAGACCAGGAGTCCTGCAACTCACTTCTCTTCCCTTTCCATCTCCAACAGGAGTCCAGGAAGTTCTTTGTCCTCACCTTCCTGGGATCCATCATCTGGATAGCCATGTTCTCATACCTCATGGTATGGTGGGCTCACCAGGTGAGTGGGCAGTAGCTCACTCTCCCATCAGCAGGTCCTAGCGCTTGTCATCTAAGATGCATTCCAGTGTTCTGGACTATCAAGATCCAGTGTGCCTGTGGTCCCCATGCTGTTTGTAAAGACCTTCAAAGTAGCCATTTATTCCGTCAATCATTTTCCAAGTATGGCTTTCCTATCTTAATTGGTATTCAGTTGTATCAAGGCATAGGAGGCCCTTCACATCCAAATTCCAGTGGTCCGGGCTGGCCTGACCCCCCAAACTGACAAAATCCCTTCCCTTTAAGTTGACTTAGTCGGGTCTGCTTGCCAGCATTGTACCATAGTGCCAGAGCACCATGAGATTTTTGTGTTCTGCCCAGAACAGCATTTATCACAGAGCTGTGATTGCAAGCTTTGCTCTAGGCTAAACAGACGTACAGTACTGCCCAAACTGCTGTCTGCAGCCTGGCTTAGCTCCCAGTGCACTGCATAGGTCGCGTGGCCCCAGAAAAGAAATGTTGACCCAGCAGACTGTTGGGGAGGCAGATCTCTGGGGCATGCACAGTTGTCTGTCGGACGACAGTGAAGGACAGAGTTGGTGTCATTAGACTTTTAGTACCCTTAGTGAAGAGCTGTGTGGTTCCCTGAGGCTGGAGCTGGGGCCTGACTCTGTCTCACCTATCCCCATCCCATCCCTGTCTTGCAGAGGGCACGGGCAGAGCCTTGGTGCTTTCTTGTTAAGCAGTGTGCCGCAGTGCTGTGAACCCTCAGATTCCCTGCCCCCCGCTGTTGCCATGGCTCCTGACCACTGTTGTTGTTTCCCCAGGTTGGTGAAACCATTGGGATTTCGGAAGAGATTATGGGTTTGACGATCCTAGCAGCAGGCACTTCAATTCCTGACCTCATCACCAGTGTGATTGTTGCCCGGAAAGGCCTGGGAGACATGGCTGTGTCAAGCTCAGTGGGCAGTAACATATTTGATATAACAGTGGGGTGAGTGGTGGTCTTCCTTTCTAAGGCATATTCGGCATCACTGGAAACTGCATTGGCTCAGCTGGGTGGTTTTCTTCTTCCTCTATTACAGATGCAACAAAAGGGCATTTGTGTGGTTTGTCCTTTTGAGGCAACGGCATACCCTCCCTTCATTCACCATAGCCTTAACAGTAACTGACTGGAACTTAGATGAACTGAGGAGTGAGGTCCATTCATTCCCTCTACCAGTACAGTAAAATGCTGCCCTTAAGGAGGTAGAGAAGGAAGGGACTGGAAGGAGCCATGTCAATCCTTCTTCATGTGCGGGCTCCTGCTAGCTCAGAAGCTTCAAATAGCCTTTTGTATAAACAAGAACTGCCCACCCTCCTGTGTAACTGTCCCCTCCTTGGTCCTAGTCTCCGAGGGCTGTCAGAGCACCTGGGCCACTTTCATTTCCCTGGTCATGGCTTGGACTTGGTTATTTTGCTTGGAATTTGTGTATGCGAATGTTAGGGAGGAGCTGCGGGTGGTGTAGGAATCAGAAAGATCTGATCGCTAAAGAAAAAGCATCCCGAGGTTAGTTCTTAATCATAAAAACTGGAAAATTAGTCACACACTGATCAGGGTTAGTCCTATATATATCACTAAGCTTATGGGGGTGGGTGGGACTCAGACCAAGGGCACTTTTTACATTGTTTTCTTTTTTTTTGAGATGGGATCTTACTGGCCCAGGCTAGACTCAAACTGAGGATTCTTCTGCCTCAGTGCCCAGTGCTGTGCTAACAGGCCCGGCCCGGCTCGGAGTACTTGTTTTAACATAGCCTCTCAGTAATAAGCCTTGAACCCTTTGCCAAGTAATTTTGTTTCCCTAACCTGCATTTCCTCATCAGTAAACTGTGGTTAATAATTTCTGTTTACCTCATCTTGTGCATGTGAGAACTCGGAAAACCTTAACCCACTAGTCCAGCACAGGGGGATGGGGGCACAGGGGGTATTACAAACAGCCGCTGTTCACGCTGGCTTTCTCTTGCAGCTTGCCTGTCCCTTGGCTCCTCTTCTCTCTCATCAACACTCTGCAGCCTGTTCCGGTCAGCAGCAATGGCCTGTTCTGTGCCATCGTCCTGCTGTTTCTCATGCTCCTGTTTGTGATCTTCTCAATCGCATCGTGTAAATGGAGGATGAACAAGATCCTGGGCTTCACCATGTTCCTTCTTTACTTTGTCTTCTTGATAATCAGTGTGATGTTAGAAGATCGAATCATATCCTGTCCTGTATCTGTCTGACTCAGTCACGGATATGAATGATGGGCATAGACCAGAAGCCCATGCCAGAAGCTCCTGCCCCTCTTGCCACACCAGTCCAAGGATGAACATGTGAACTGGACAGCCTGGACCCTCTGAAGTGACTGCCATCGTGACCGAGGCTTCTCTTTGCAAACTCCTGCAGCTCCTGGTGGATTGTGAGCACTTCCTTGGTAGGGAGAGTCCTACCACCCAGGCCTGCAGCTCTCACAGAATCAGCAGGACAACCCCTGCAGCCAGACAGCTTTCCAAATGAGACCTGGGATAAGGCTGGGATACAGGCACCCTGGCTCACAATTCCCTGATCACTCCTGAAGAGCCTCTGGCACAGGGTTGTAGGTGCTGGAGGCTTGCTCTCCTGGCTACGGCCCCACACACATGCACATGCTGCCATGTGCTATTCCTCTCGGTGCAAATGTGAAGTCATATCAGGTCTGCAATCGTTATAAGTTCAGATAATGAGCACAAGGAGCTAAGGCCATGGAAGGGCAGGAATAAATTATCACCATACCCTATAGTCCCGGAAGATGCACGACAATGTTTCCTATGTTAAAAGTCATCAGCTTTTATTGCTGTATTTCTGAAAAATGAAATTAAAACAGGAAACAGCCTAAAATGAAGTGTATAATGTCTTGATCTAGAGGCAGAGATTTAAGGAAAAAAAAAAAACCTACTCAGGGCTATTTAAAATGTGGTACTTTCTGGAAAATCCATGTTTGTTTTGTCTCCATCAGTGGTCACTTCAAAGGCTTAGATATTTTGACACAACTTCCCTGCTGCCCCTCCAGGACTGACATCTGACACTAAAGAGTCAAAGGGATGTATTTGCAGAGAGGCCCAATCTGACGTATAAGAGAGCTAGGGCTCAGTGCTATGCTTGTATGCTAACCTACACAGGACTGCAGAGCAAGACTAGTCCTGTGTATAGTTTATCAGTGAACCTTGAGACAATTTACAAAGAAGAAATTAAAAAATGCTTAGCACAATGATGATATAGTGAGAAAAAAAAAGAATACTGCTTGCTATGCAGGTCAGGCTGGCCTCGAACTCAGAGATCTACCTGCCCTGCCTCCTGAGTGCTGGGATTAAAAGTATGGCTGCTACACCTGGCTGAGTATCTATTTTTAAGGCCATAAAGGACACTGAAAAAAGTTAAGGTTAAACATTTTCTATGAAATTTTATATGCTTGCATATTAAACACCATTGGTTGTTGCTTTTATTAGCACCAAACGGCAGAGAATGCTAGAAACAAATTTTTCTTATCATTGGTTTCAGAGTACAAGGAGCATAAGCGTCTACAGATGATGGCAGACTCATCTAAAGTCATAAAGATCGGAATGATGTGGTAACATGCAAGAAGATTGCAGGACAGACATGAAGTAAATACAATTGGTCATTCTGGTGTTGGAAGGCATTCGAGTATTCATCTTTAAGATGGGTTGTACTTCCTCAAGATTCCCATGTTTTTGGAAATAACTTTTATTAAATATTAATGAAAACTGTGAGTTTACTTGTATTTTATTTTACAAACATGAATGGACTCACTCCATCTTTAGGTCAACCTATCAGAAAGCTCAAATGAAAAGACTAATAAAGACTATGATATGTTTAAATTCCACTCTTTCTCTCTGAACATGTTTGTATGTGTACATGCGCGTAAACGTCGAGGCTGACACTGGGTTTCTTTCTCAATCACTTTCTACCCTTTCCTGAGATGGGCTCCCTTTTACTAAGCATGAACCTCACCGATTAGGCTAGGCAGGCTCCTTGTCTGTCTTCGGCCCCAGACTGGGATTAGCTGTCTTTTAAGTGGGTGGTGGGGATCAAACTCAGTCCTGTGCCTGCTGTACGAACAGTTCACCTGCTGCACCAACTCCTCCCGGGTCCCTCAAGTTTCATATTTTCAATTATCCTCCTCCCTGGTGCTACTTTTCTATGGAGCCTCCACAGGCCATGGTTGAACAGGAAAGAACAATCCTGTGGAATGGACGCCAATGCCAAAATTCTGGGAACCTACCTGTTGTCTGCAACCAGCTCCAATTTGCCTCAAGGATGTCACCTTGCCAAAGATTTGATGTTCATCAGGCTGAGTGGTGGACAGTGAGATATTCCGCAATTATAAAACCATTTAATTATCAAAACTAATCAGAATGATCTTATATCCTTTCCCCAAGCAGCCGGATTTCTGGCATCTTCCTTTGCCCACAAAGGAAGTCCCAACCACTTCATACTGTGACAGGAAAGGACGAGCACCAAAAGGGAGCTGGGCTTTTGGCAGATGACTGGGGATTCACTGGGAGAGGAACTACTTCAAAGGCACAGAAAACGTCACTTTAATTAACAGATTTCACTAACGTGTGTGTTTGTGTGTGAGTGTGGGTGACTGTCAGAAGAAAGGTCAGATCCTTTGCAGCTGGAGTTCCAGGCAGTTGTGAGCCTTCTCGTGGGTGCTGGGAACTGAATCTGAATCATCTGGAAAAGCAGCGAGTGCTCTTAACCACTGAACCATCTCTTCATCCTCAAATAACTCAAGTTTTCTCTTTTCTTTTTCTCCTTCATGATACATTTTTAAATCCTAGAGATTAAGCCCAGGGTCCCTATCATGATAGGCCAGTGGTTCTCAATCTTCCTAATGTTGCAACCCTTTAATACAGTTCCTCATGTTGTGGTGACCCCCAACCAATTATTTTCATTGCTACTTCATAATTGCAATTTTGCCACTGTTATGAATCATAATGTAAATATCTGTGTTTTCCAATGGTCTTAGGTAGACCCTGTGAAAGGGTCATCCAACTCCCAAAAGGGTCTCAACCCACAGGCTGAGAATCACTGTGCTAGGCAGAGGCAGCACCACTGCGTTGTATCTTTTAAGATGTGTGTGTATGCATACTTGTGTACTAGGGGTGTGTGTGTGTATGCTCACATACGTGCATGCACCTGTAGAAGTCACAAGAGGGCATTGCATCTCCTGGAGTTGACGTGGGTGCCCCCCTGATGTGGACCCTGGGATCTGAATTTAGGTCCTCCAGGAGAGCAGTAAGGATTCTTAATTGCTAAGTCATCTCTCCAGCCCCAATCTGCATAACTTCTAAAAGAACCAATTAAATTTGTGTTATATACTTATAAACCCACCGTAACTTACTAAAAGCATGTCTTTTAAAAGAGATAAACCAGTATGCTAACACGCCAAGATAATGTTGAGATGGCCCTTTCATTTGATAGCAAACAATCTGCAGAATTACCAGAAGCGAATTTCATCTCACTGTCTGAGCCTAGAAGTCTGAGCTGAGGCAGGTGGGAGTGTGAGCTGGCAACAGTGCCTGCAGGTTGTCCTCCCTTGCCCTGCAGCTGTAGGGCTTTGATGCCCTAGTTATAGATTTGGGCCATATTTCTAAAAATATAAAGAACTTCCCAATTAAATGAATTAAAATTTTATATAATAAATGAAAATGGACCTATCTGAAATTTTTGAAAATTGTTTTAAAATAGCTACTCTCTGTATTTTGAACATTATATTGTACTGTGACCAACAGACATGAAAATGGTTTTAACTGTTTCTTTTTAAAACAACACTGTCTATATCAGAATTTTCATTTAACAACTGAGTTCTGAGGGGACAGGAACTGAACTTTATATTGAAAGTACAGTTTGGTAGGTAAATGGAAACAAATGATTGCCCTTATCTGCAGGTAGAGCCTGTAAGTGTTCTGGGATTGGTCCCTGTGAAGAAAAAGTGATCTCTGAGCAAGCCTGCCTGCCCCTAGGGGGTCACTAGCACCTGGCAGGATATCAATGCCCAAGTCAAGTTAGCCTGTACGGTAAAGGTCTGCTCCTGGTTTGCAGGTCCTTCATTGTAATCACTGATTAAAACCTGAAAATGGTTCTGTATAGACTCATCCACCAGTTGCTCCATTAAAAGAAATCATTTGGAAATAACTCTTTATATAACTCTTTAGAGGAAGCCATCTAAAGAACAGTAACTGTGGAAAGGCTCAGTAGAGTCTGCCTCAGAGTGTGAGTGCACAGACGTCAGACTCACACAATTCCTAGGCAGACGAGTGCCCTGCTTCTCCTGTAAACACAGTTTAGTAGGTGACTGTGCTTTCCTTGGGCCTAGCAAAGGACGGTAGTATGGGAGGGGGAGGGGCTAAGACTCCAAGTCCTGAGGATGATGATGTCCACGAAGGCAGGCAGCTGCTGGAATTCAGTTCACATAGAGTTGGTGCTGAATCTAAGCAGGATAAGCACATTAGCCACAGTACCAGTCCAAGGCCTCCCAAAGGCTGCTTGCTCGTTCCCTTACTCTGACACGAAGTGCCTCAAAGCAGCCTTTAAATTATGGTGGAAGAAATAAAATAATGCTGAACTACTGCCCATTTTAAAGAAGTATTTTCCGTCCATGAGTTAATTAGAATACAACGCAATACAATACAATAGAATCAGCTAATGTTTGTTAGTTGCACCAATAAATACTAATTATCAACACAAAGTAAAAATAAGGATTTATTGCCTAAAATGCTGAACCAACATTTTCAGGGTCATTTCTCTATATACAAAAATGAGAAGACATACTAGACAACTTTATTATAGATCGGTTGATAGTTTCGGGGGTTTAAAGGTTATAAAAAAGTTAAGAAAAAAGACAATCAGAAGATGAATAGCTATATACTGTGAAATCTGGCAACAGGAGGAAAATGTTGAATATTTAAAGTAGTATATACATACACAGAGAAATGTTCAAACCTTTGAGAGTCTTAAACAAACTGCACTAGCAGGAGCGTGGTTTATTTCCAGCAACTAAAACATAAGCAAAACTAAGAATGAAAAGTAAGAACTTAGTGGAGGAAAAGACATTGCTCTCCAACACTATCGGCTGCACTTTCCCAAGATGTGTATGTTCAATAAAACACTGAAAACCTGCTTGCAGTAAATTGTTTCAGAAGATGATCCTTCTTTTAGTTTTCTTTGGAGCAGGACTGACTGAGTTCTGTTCCAGGTTTTAGATATTATTTTAAAAAACTGTCTTCATACAATAATAATTCCTAAAGATTAAAAGCAAGAGAAACACAACTTTATTCAGAGACAGAAAACACAACTCAGGGTAGAGCTGGGAGACAGAAATCGTGTTCAGTTTTCTGAG